TTTGAGTTTCTCACAGAGCACTGTACCTCGGGCAAAATGAGACATCCTGCCCCTAGCAGTGGAAAAGTTAATGTTAATAGATTTTTTTTTCTTTTATTATTATTTGTCAGGTTGGAGATCAAATAGTGGAGATCAATGGCGAGGCCACACAGGGCATTACACACACTCGGGCAATTGAGCTGATCCAAGCAGGAGGCAATAAAGTTCATCTACTTCTCCGACCTGGCCAGGGCTTGGTCCCGGATCACAGTGAGTTATTGCAGAGCACTGCGTGCATGTTGTCGCCGCTGCATATAGATCTACTTAATAGCTTATTAGTCATACATATAGAGAAGCTTTTGTATGGATATGCTAGATAGCAGGGTGCCGAGTTTCCTTTTTCTCATGCATGTGTTGCAAGCTTTCTTGACTTTTCTCTCTTCTCATTCTGTTTTACTACTGCTATTTGGATCTGCCTTTTGTGCTCTTTATCTGCCTTGCTTTCTCTGTTTTCTGCTCTAGCACGGCTGTCTATTTCTACTTTTATCTCTTCCTTCTATAGGTCTGAACTCTTCTTCCACCCTGTGCTTCTACATGAAACCAGAGCATCACTAAAGGCCTCACTGCTTTTCTTGGTCTGTCCCTAATAACATTGGTAATCCTTGTACTCCACCTACTTTTGTCTTAGAACTCTCCTTTCAGAGTGATTTAACTCCCAAATTAAAGTGTTATTCTCTATCCACTATGTCATCCCCCATGATCAGCCTGAATAGATCAGTTCGTTGTAGCTCAGTAATAACCTAATGTATTACAGTATAACCAGACTATCTAGAGGGCTGAACTAAAGCAGTGAGTCCTAGAAGAACAAACAGGCCTGCAGGAGCATTGGAAGGCTTCTGAGCCCCACAGGTTATTTTTTAAGGGTATTACAAAACAAGATGCCACTGAACACTCACTGCGTCCTTAGTTTGAGTGAAGATGGAGGCCTGGAGAGAAGTTCTTAACCAGATATTGATCAGTGAGTGGAAAAGTAGTAAAAGGATCTGTGTTTATTCACTGGCATCAATCTTTCAATCCAAAGACCAAATTATTTGAATGAGTTGTTGCTCTTAGAAATCCAAAAGCTCATTTCAGCACCTCTAAGTCCATCACGCTCACTTTTCTCTCTCTGTTTTTTTCTGCTGCATATATCTGCTCTCAACTACAGCTGTGCAGTTCTTATCAGCTCTGGGGAAAATTGAAACGTCAGTGCTGAGTGAACTCTAGCACCTTTTCATTGATAGCTACGTTGTCAGCTGATACACATCTCAAACAAGGCAAATATATTAGAGGGGGCTATTACAAAGGACTATTACAGAAAGTGTGGTAGACGGAAAAAATCTTTTTTCCAAAAACTGAGCATATCGCGCTTCTATTGTATGACTTATTTAATCATCTTTAATCTTTGTTGAATGTGCAAAAAATATCTCGTTATGATTTTTTTTTTAGCTTCTGCAGTTTCTTTGCTTTCACATAGCAGTTTTTTTGCTTAGCTCAAACTTTTTTCTTACTATCTGCTGCTTGCATTGTAGGTTCAAAGGACAAAGTAACCATTCCAACCTCAAGCTTTCCCAGATTCTCTGTATCTGATGGGCAGTCATCTCCAGCTTCTCCATCCTCTGTCTCCCTCTCTACCTCTGAACTTTCCCCATCCTCACCCAAAATATCTGCCCCTGATGAGTTCCCTGGGGGTGACGGCATAGAACGTGGGTCCCCTGGTGCTGCGAGGGAGCATGGTAGGCAGGCTAACAAACCAAGAGGACAGCAGCTCTCTGACCCTAACCATAAGCGCACCACCAGCCCAAGCACCCAGACCAATAAAACAAGCAGGAGCGACTCCGCAAATGGTAGCCCCAAAAGAGCCACTGAAGGCCAAAGGGAGCACATAGATCGCTCCCAGAGCCCTCGAAAAACAGACCAAGGCCACAGCGGATCCCTGGAGGACATGAGCAAGGACAGAAAAGCCCAGGGACAGAGAGGCTCCAAGTGGGAACGTGACCCTGCCGTGCCTTTGAGCAACCTGGAGGAGCCTCACAGCCCCAGGCGCCCAGCTGGCCAAAAGCCCAATATTGCCTCTGGAGAAGAGAAGGACCTGAGGTACAAGCAGACTGATTCAGCTTACTGGCAGGAAAGAGGAGCTACAGAGAGTGGAGACAAAACCTGGGGAACCACTGACTACTACAGAAAGGCAAAGAGGGCTGAGCAAGAGGCACTGGTCCAAAAATCCAACTCCCAAGCATACAGGGAGAGGGTGGGGTCAGACGCTGATGGTGGCACACTGAGCCGAAAGACCGCAAGAGACAAACGGGACAAGGAACATCGAGATGGCAAGTACCATGGTTCAACTGAAGAAGTGAATAAAAAGGACCCACGAGGTTCAAACAGTAGCATCCCAGACCCCAGCTGTAATGGGAACACTTCCAGCAAGAAGGGTCCCATCACCCCGGGCCCGTGGAAAGTTCCCAGTTCTGCCAAGATCCAGTCCCGAGTGGACACCACATATGCAGATATCTGAAACCCTGCCAGGACTCTGCATATATAAAGAAAAAGCTGAGCCACAAACATGAATTCAGAATTGAAGGATTATTTTTTTTAGACATGTCTGACATAGCAGATCACTGTGCAACCAGCAACATAGCTTCTCATTGCTCCTGATTATTTTTTTTTTCTCCAACCACTTTGCCTACATCAGTTTGCATCAAGCTGCTGATATCTGATCCGACACACGTTGTACCTACATGAGAATTTGTACTGTATAATGATGTGTAAGCATGTGTGTAACAGATGGGTTCTGAGTGTGGTATTTGGAAGTAACAATGACGTCTATTTTGTGCCAATCAGAGACTCCGGTAATATAAAGAAGCTGCTCCTAATTGCACTCACTGTGAGACTGTTTGTGGGTTTTTTGGATAAACTGCTCTCCTCCCCACCACGATGAAGGATCCAGATTTTTTTTTGTTTGTTTGTTTTGGGGTTGTTTTTTTTTATTACGTGTGTCACGTTTGAAGGTTTAAAGGCATACACATGCAATCACAGCTTTTCTTCCAGGTGAGACTAACTCACTGTTGCTGTCACAAATGGATGTTTTAAAAACTGAGACTTGTGATTTTCTCTGATCGCTGTCTTAAAAGCGAAACTGTCTTGTAAGTCCTTTATGGTTTGTTTTTTGAGACCGACTAGAGTGTGACTGCATTCATACATGCGAAGACATGAATTCCCTTAGCATATCAGAGAATGGAAAGACTACCCTGGAGCTTTATATGCATAAATCAGCAGACCAGATACTTGTGGTTATAGTTCTAATGTTTGTTATATGTGTGTTAATGAAAATAAAGCATAATGTAATTTATTGAAATTAAATGTACACAGAACAGTTAGTACACATAATTTCACTTTTCACGTGGACTTGATGAGGCAAGGTAGAAATGGAACGTGTAGATAAGCATCTCCATCTAAAAGAATACATTCAAAGACTGCAGTTTATGCATCTAATTTCATTCAAGCCTGATTCATAAAGTTGCTGACTGTTCACAGCTCTGTATTTTAGGTCCTCTGCCTGCGTGTACGTATACAAGCTGACTTGTAGGCCTGTGTATTTTAAATATCACTGTAGCATCGACTATACTGAAAATGAAACATATCTCATTTAACAAAGTGGTTACACATATATCGACTCATATTATACATGAATTGAATTAACAGAGGCTGACTGTAAGAAGTGAGACATCTGGCTTTTAACTTACTAAAAACATTAGAAGATATGTCTTTTTGTTAACCATAAATATAGGCACAAAAACAGATGGTTCCAACACAAATATCTATTTTTGATCATTATTTTTAGTACATGACCCCCATGATTTAAGTAGTATAGTATTAATATTATGCTCCATTATAGGCAAGATGCCTGAAGAATTCACCAAATAGTCACCCTTTGGTGATTGAACATATAGTGCATGAAATTGGCAGTACCATTTCTTTAGGAGTCTGGCTTGAAATTACAATCTAAGGTTTGTCAACTTTATTTTTTAAATAAATTCAGTGTAATAAAAAAGTTATTGGGATATGTTGCCCTGCTCTAAAATGACAATGTAGCATCGTTCCAGTGTTTCTCCTGTGGAGTAGAGACACCTAGTGGTTTATACACTGCTGTTCACAAGCAAATTATTGCTTGAACCCAACCCATAAGGATGTGAAGCAGTAATACATGCATCTGTGGGTCTGTAAGACCACTGCTTAATTTATTGTCCACTTTATTGTGACTATGATGCGATACTGTATTAATTACTGTTCATGCCATTACCATGTATGATACTGTGGCCTTGTATTGCTCCAACATATATACATATATATATAAATATATAAAAAAAACTTTTAGTTTTACATCATGGTAGTTGTAAATGTTTATAAATTGTACAGCACCTGTATAAATATTTGCCTTCATGCAGGAAAAAAATCCTCTAAATTGTTTCATTATTTTTTTAAGGGAAGGGAACTGAGAGGAAATGCTATAAAGTGGTTCAAAAGAAATAATAATAATCTGGTCATGGCATTTTGTTCATGCACTGATAAATAAAGGTTTACTGATTCAACATGTTTGTTTTGTCCTCTTTTTACGCCTCTAGTGGGTGTGCCACTGCATTATGATGACAACTTTAAAAAATATATATATTTTTACCTCAAATTGGAGTCGGTTACAGTGGTTTATCGTTGTGGCGTGTAATATTGCTACTTCACAGCTCTCACCCGCTGCAAACGCAAAAGCTCCGCCTCCAGTGGGTTAACCATTACGTCAGCTGAGCGGAGGTGAGTGCGTGCAAAGCCGCACGCATTCAGTACATTCCAAACTCCAACTCCCATGCAGCCATGCGCCGTCTTTAAACTACATTACCTACAGATCAATGCGTTGCGCGTGCGCAATGGACTCAAATCAGCGAAGGGAACTACAAATTAACGGCAAGAGGACTACATATTGTCGGGGACCTGCGCAGTAGGAACCCAGAGTCCTTTAAATTGTTGACTACTGTACGTGCAAAGATGGCAGCTCAGGTCGACTTGCTCCGTGCCAAAGTAGAAGACAAAATGGTAAGGGATCGTCTGGAGCGATTCATGAAAGAGAAGAAGAAGAAAAAGAAAAGGGACTTGTCACCGTTGGCCGACAAACGGGAGAGGTCTGAAAAAGAAGCGAAAAACGTGAAGCTCCATCACCACCATCATAATCACAAACATGCCGAGCACCGGATCCATCAGCCGCATCAGCTGCAGCAAAATCCCAAGCCCCACAACTTCAGCACGGACAAGCTCGTCCTGCACAGCCACCATCACAATCACAGCCTCACCAACGGCACGAAGAAGCCGATTTTTCCTCCGCCTCAGCCGCGAAAGGTGCCGGAGCAGCTACAGAAGAAGCAAACGGTGCCTTCACAGCCACCTGCGCTCTTCACTTTCACGCCTCTCAAAGTGGTCAAGGCCAAGCCCCAGGAATTCAAAGAAAAGCCCAGGGATAAGGACCTGAAACTAAAGCTGAAGAAGGAAAATGAAGAAGCAAATGTGAAACACGCCGAACTGAAGAAAAAGAAGGGTGAGCTTTGCTATTTTCATTTATTTATTTATTTACTTTCGTTTAAAGACTGTTGGCATTTGAAGATGGATGTTGGGGGGGGATCTGAATGACAAGTAATGGCATGTAATGTGTGAGTCTTCTGATTACAACAATTTGTAATGTTTGCTGTTAAGTAGTGCAATTTATAGAGTAGCTATACAACTGACCTAGTGTATATCCTTTGATAGTAAATAAGAAAAAAAGAAGCAATGAATACGTAAAACTTACAGAAAATATGTCCCCGAACCTCCCTTTAATCATCATTGCTAGTCTGCTGCATTATGGGTTGACTAAAGAACAGAGCTAAACACAGCTTTTTTTTTATGCACATCCTTCTTTTCTAACTTTTAGCTGCTCACTTACTTGTAGAGCCAAGGCCTCACAATGAGAATGGCAAGTCTTTAACACTAGAAGAATATCTCCTTAAGAAAAAAAAGAAGAAGAATCATGAGGATGAGCAAGGTGTCAAGAAGGTTCGACACATGCACAACAAAGCCGTTCAGACTGTATGCTCAGGGGTTGGAAAAGATCCTTCTCTGCCTGGCAGCATTAAGCATGAAAGCAATCACCATCCCGGCAGAGATGCTGTCGACTACCCGGCCCACCTCCATGCTCTCAAACAGGTTCACGCCCCCTTCTTTTCCCACCAGGACCACTACATCCGCAGCTCCTGTCTCCAGACAGGAACACGATATGGACGCTTCATACACGAGGAAAGGCAACCCAATGGTGGGGGGTCTATCTTGCACGCCTATGCTGACGAGTTGGCCTGTCTTAGTCCGGCTGAGATGGAGTGCTTTGCCCAGGAATTTCTGAAGCTGGCTTTTGCCGAAAAGCCTAAAGGTGCAGCCTCATATGCCTTGTCAGTAGTACACAATGCAGCTGCATACCTACCGGACTTCTTGGACTACTTTGCCTTCAACTTCCCCAACACGCCGGTCAAAATGGAGATAATGGGCAAGAAAGACATTGAGACTACCACTATTGCCAACTTTCAGTCTCAGGTATGTGAAAAGGGCAAAGGGTTCTCTTGACCATAACACAAAAAATGTAAACAGAATCCCTCGTGACTTCCATAAACAAATACAGTACAGGACACTGCTTGGGGTGAGCAGAGTGGTTAGATGCTGATCAGCATGAATTTGTGTTTAAAATATTTTATTTTATTTTTAAAAAAAGGCTGAAAAGAGTAATTTCCATTATGAATGGAACTAACTAAATGGTAAATATATATTGCTTTTAATAGATGTTTTAGTGTAAAGATTCCTTGGTTTTAATCAACTAACAGTACAAAACATCTTGTGCTATAATATCAGAGCATAAGTGGATTTATAGAGGGGGTAGTTTTGGGAAGAGCAAATTTAAACTTGCAGAATATGTTGGGTTTTGGGGGGTTTTTTTGTTTTGTTTTTAAGAACATTTTTGTGTCAGAGATGCAAAAACATAAATGTAGTAAATCAGGTTACAGCTGAGATTATCTGTCATGAACGAAAACTATCAGACTGAGTGTTTTTAAGTTGTAGATGGTGGAAATGGATAGCATCGCCCATAAGGGCAATGAGTTCCCTCACTCCACCAATGTTTATACATCAGGTGCAGATACTTTTTCTGGTGAGATGCGATACACTAAAACCGAAAACAAATTTTAGATAAAATCAATATTGTTGTGAGTCAGAGCAAGTCTTACAAAAGCCACGATCTTAAATGAGGTACAAAAATATTTGCCTCTCAGTAGCTGTCTGTGTTTAATGTATATTCTCATTAAGTTGATAAACTGCTGGTGGCTGGCTGCGTTTGTTCTCATAGGGCACTTACAGTCACAGTTGTTTCATGACGTTGCAAATAGGGGTGGGTTTTGATTATCGATTTATCGATTCTGGCTTGGATAATGTGATATCGATTCATTAAAATCCTGAATCGATTTTTAAATATAAATGTATTTTGCCCGAAATGCCAGAATCTCAAGTTAAACCTCACGAACTTTCTACAACCATCGGCGGGCGCTTTGTGTTTACGTCCTTTTTTTGCGCTGATTCTGAAGCTGCAGGTTTTATCTCTTTCCAAACAATATTAACTGAACCAGCAGCAAAAGAAGATCCAAACTACGCTTTACATAAACATTGTCCCGAATTTCCTCTTACTTTTGCTGTTTTGCTTCCACCACGATAAAATCCCACTTCATGAGCTCTCTCTCTCTCTTTCTCTCTCTCAGGAATAGTTTTCCATCTAAAAATCTCTGTTTTTTGCATTATTCGCTTACTTATTACCCACCAGTCTATGGTGTCGGCCACTGTTTTTTTTGTTTTGTTTTGTTTTGGGTTGTTTTACTTACTTCTGACAAGAAAGCCTCATTTCTGCCGTTCAATACTAAACAAATGTAAACTTTTTAAAATTATGCAAAATTGGAAAAGGCTTAGCTGTGTCTTTAATCAAACCTCTGTAACTTTGCTCTGCTTCACTTCGTTTTTGACTGCACAATATTTTTAAGGTCATCTGCTATAAAAACTCAGACCAGGAAACCGCCTTCATGTTTTTCTGTGTTTTATACTCAGTTACTTTGACACAAATCTGCTGTGATGCTTACACCTTTGATAAAGTCTCACAACTTTCTTTTTATAGATATAAAAATATTGATATGTACTGATAAGTGATCCGAATTATAATATTTCAGACTGTCTGAGGCAAAATTTCCCCGAATCGAATCAATTCGGGACCTTGTGAATCGGAATTGAATCGATTCTAGAAATCAGTGACGATACTTAGCCCTAGTTGCAAATTGATTCCTAACTGCAGAAAGATGAAACTGTGTCAGTACATCTGCAAATGTGTGATGCTGAAAAGGATACAGAGCTCAGCAGTTTGTCGTCTCACCACTGCATAAATGCACAAAATGTTTTTGTTGTTGTTTTTACTTACTACAGAATTTTACTAGGTCATTACATAAAACAGCAGTGTTTATGTTGCTGATCACGTCTGTGATTCATGAAGCGTTTGATCATTTTGCTACAATGACTGTAGTCTAGTATATTTTCTATGCATTTATGTGCTTCTACAAATAAAGGTGTGACTCACAGATTACGGTCTGTAGTGTCGGCTAGACACACACGGGCCAGAAATCCATTAGAGTGACTTGTGTATGGATTTTCCCCCTCCTTTGAATATGCTACCAGGTGATGTGTGACTGAGTAAATCGAATCTGTTAGCCATAAAGTGTCACTGAAGCTTTGTCACAATCATTAATCTGTGATATGAGAGTGCCCATTCTTCTTCGGGTTTTGACATTTAACAGTCATTTGTTTTGTGTCTAAATGCAGTATACAAAGACAGTAAGTTAGACTGTAGCGCACACCCTGAAATATATTTAAAATTTCTGCTGTCCTAGGTGAATCGGACTTACTGTTCAGGGACTTATCGAGCAGGACCCATGAGGCAGATCAGCTTGGTTGGAGCCGTTGACGAGGAAGTTGGAGATTACTTCCCAGATTTCCTGGACATGCTGGAAGAGTCACCATTTCTCAAGGTCAGAGGAAATATTAGAGTCCTAATAGATGGAAGTTTGTAGTCTGCCTACATGGCTCACACAGCAGCACTTAGGTTTTGTAACAATTTTGTTTTGTGTACCATATGCTAAAGAAGTGGGACAAGAGTATGCATACATTGCTGCAGCACTCTACAACCTACTGCTTACTCTAACTTTATGGAACAAAGTACTGTGAAACTAGCTACTTGGTTCTGTAAGGCTGCAGTTGGACCCTTCTCATGCTGTATGTGCCCTAACCAGTAAACATTAGGTCACTCAGCATTAGCACTAAGTGATTATTTTAATGCTAACATAAGAAATCGGATGAATCCAGAGGTATACTAGAGCCTTATGTGTGCCATTATTCATCCAAATAAATTGAGAACAACATGCATTGTGTTGCATAACAAACAATAACTGATGTTGGCTCTAGTGAAAGCTTAATGGAGCACAGAAAATACAAATATAGAGTCCTGAATACTTCAGCAAATTATTGCCTGCAAAAAGCAAAATATTGCATATGAAAAATGGCAATTTTTTTCATTTGGCCTTATTTATGAAATCCTAAATGGTAGGGACTGTGTATTTAAAGTGATTCTAAAACTGAACCTGACTTTCCAATGATTATTTCAAATTGAATATGCTCGAAGCCTAAAGTACAGGAAGCAAAAACTTGTTGCAGTACTTACGTTCTGGGCCGTAGACTTGAAGATGTTGAATACAGTATGTTGCTGTCAGGAATGTTAAGAAGTACCAATACTCTGATTGATCTAGTGTTAACACATTCCTACTGGTTACAAGTTGTTACCACCATCCTCCAGCATTACCCAGCATATACAGGGCTCATCGGCAAATTGCATATGCTTAATAGGCTGTAATATGATGCATATCAAGGTAAACTTGATGCCTTGATGTTTCTTAATGTTTGTGTCTGTGTATATCATCACAGATGACCCTCCCATGGGGAACCCTCTCTAGTCTAAAACTGGACTGTCGCTCTCAGAGTGATGATGGGCCGATCATGTGGGTCCGACCAGGTGAACAGATGGTGCCCACTGCTGACATGCCTAAGTCTCCTTTCAAACGGCGCAGGTACAAGTTCATCTGTGGGTTTATCAGTGTATATAGGCAAAGTACTCATGATGTAACCTCTGGTTTTCTTGTTCTTGTGTGTTTCTTCAGGTCCATGAATGAGGTAAAAAATCTGCACTACCTACCGAGAACCAGTGAACCCAGGGAGGTTCTCTTTGAAGACCGGACTAAGGCCCATGCTGATCATATTGGGCAGAGTTTTGACTGGCAGAGCACTGCTGCTGTCGGTGTACTGAAAGCAGTGCATTTCGGAGAAGGGTGAGTATCTCTTAAATAAAGATGATGCGATAGCAGCACCTCATGCATCATGATATGTGAAGTGGGAAAGTAACTTTTCGATATACTTTGTTTCTTTTTTAAAATCTCTTACAGGAATAACCGACCACGTATAACCAAAGATGTAGTGTGTTTTGATGCTGGGGACTTCAATGAAGTTGTCCAGAGGCTGCAGCTGGATCTGTACGAACCTCCAGTAGCTCAGGTGAGACGTGCGGCTTTATAGCAATGTGTTTTGTTTTTTGTTTTTTATATTATAGCGGGGTTTTTTTGTTTGCTTTAAAATAAAACCGCTATGTGTCTTCGTTCTTTGTGCAGTGTGTTCAATGGGTGGATGATGCAAAGCTCAACCAGCTGAGGAGGGAAGGCATTCGCTATATCCGCGCCCAGCTGTGTGACGATGACATTTACTTTATCCCAAGGAACGTCATCCACCAATTCAAGACCGTGTCTGCAGTCTGCAGCCTCGCCTGGCACATCCGCCTCAAAGAGTACCATTCAGAAGACGTAACCGCAAAGGAGGAGCAGCAACCCAACGATCTCAGCCCCACCTCTGGTCGAGTGTCGTTTTCCTCCCCTGCGAGGCCTGATGCCTCCATAACCCCCTGTGCAAGACCACAGGGAGACAACATCCAGGGTGGGGTGGCTAAAACCGAAGAACCTGAGTTCCAGAGGCCAGCAACACCTTCCCAGGAAACCCAGCCAGCCCCTCCACAGCCTGCTAAATCTGCTCACCTCCCAACAACATACAAGGATCCCCACCATTTCTTAGCACCAGTCCGCCCTGGATGTACACCTTCAAAAGAGCCCAGCCTTCCGAAAGCTCATGGCCACACTGCAGACTTCCCTGAATGACCTTATGCCCCCATCTACCCCCACAACCTATATTTCCCCTGTAAAGGAATTTTGGACTTGGACTGACATTTTTGTCAATCAGGAAGCTTTTCGACTTAACTTATTGTTCATGCTTTTGTTTTTAATCTTCAAATGTTGTTTATGATGTAGTCACATGTTTTCCCGTAAGTCCAATTACATAATTTAATGGGATTGTATAATACAATTTCTTATTTTATATTGCTCTCATATTCACTGTAACGCTTCACTGTTTTATTCAGAAGCTGTGTATGATGTATAGAAACTATTATTTTTTAGACTGACATTTGTCACATGCACATGTTTTAATATATGTTGAATGTTTAGCTGGTTTAGCTTCCATATCATGGAAGAATTGAAGTCGCAAAATGCTTGTGGATCGATTTAGAAGCTTAAAAAATGTAAGTATAGAAGCATGATACTGATCTTTTTTTTTTATTTTTTATTTTTTTATTAGTTTCAGTGACCGATGCAAAGTGAACTAATGTTACCTTAAGAATACTGTGGCTTCTCATTGATAGACTGAGTTGTCAAAGTGCTGCCAGGCCTTTCTTATTTGATTTAAAAGCTTGGGAAGAATTTGACTTTTTACATTCATCATGCCTATGGAAATAATAATTAGCTATTACTTTTATTATTTTCAAATGCCGTCTTTTAAACTTGAGTATAATTTCCTTTAAACGAGGCAACATACAATATATTACAAGCACTTAAATCTTACTCGTCTGCTTCATAAGTTGAAGTTAAGGCAGTTCTTTATTTAAAAAACATTTTATACAGGGCCTTTTTCTTACTGTTAATACAGTTTTTTGATATTTATTTATTTTCTTAATATCGAGCTTAACATATAAACACAGGTTTATAACCAGTGATGAGTATTTAAGATTATGACCTAATTGTAAAAGCACTTCTAAGTGACTAAGGAATCACATCTATTGCGCTTAGCAATAACAATTTGACTCTTTTCTTCATGTGTGGAGTTTGTATTCAGAATTTGGAATGTAAATATTATATTGTTATTGCTGGGAATATGTTGCAGCTGTCTTTCAGTCTCAGTTTAATTAAAATTCCATTCACACTCTTATTGTTAGCTGATAATGTCATTATGCTGAAGAAGGCACTTTGTAGTGAGTTTGACGTGGTTGCAACTATGGCTACGTTCACACTGCAGGTCTTAATGCTCAATTCCGATTTTTTGATCAAATCCGATTTTTTTTTGTCTGCGTGTTCACACTACAAATAAAATGCGACAGCAAAGGCGCTCTAGTGTGAACGCTCAAAGCGGCCCGCATGCGCAAAAGAAGACTTCACACACAACGCGCTCTGTTTAGACCCAGACCAAACAGTATTGTTTGACTGATGGCCCTTAATATAAAGACTTCGGACTTTACGTTTCCCAATTTTTGCTTTAAGTTATTTTGTTATTTACATAATAATGTAAATAACCTAATAATTATCCTTATTGCTGTTTTAGAGAGGAGCGGTGCTTCAAAGGATAGCTGCAGATTTCTGTCAGAATCTGCAGATTATACAGTACAAATAAAATGTTCACGTTTCTCCAACGTTGTCTTCCCAACAGTTTCACTGACAGCTACACGGGATGGCCAGGAAGCGTTCGCGATGTCTTATCGGGCGCTTCTCCGGCGCTGAGAATTGGCGTCTGTCTTGTGTTGGTGACGTAAAAGACGGATTTAATGCGACATGACCGTTCAAACAGCAGTCGCTTTCTAAAACATCGGATATGTATCGGATTCAGTACCACATACGAAAGTGACCCAGATCGGATTTGAAAATATCGGATTTGCACTGTCATAGCATGATCGGATATGGGTCGCATAGGGTCAGAAAAATCGGATTTGATGCGCTTTCGCCTGCAGTGTGAACGTAGCCTATGTGGCGTCAGAAAGTGTAAGCCCCGCCCCCCGCCTGCACAGGGTTGGTCCAAAAATACTGCTATCTGTCACAACATTAGAACTACTTGCCTCATAGTATGCAGCTCCTGGCACAGCACTGTCAGCAATCCCAAAGGGTCTGTGTCTGTGGTCTCTGGGGATCAGACTATTGCATCTCACAAATGCACAATTATATTCGAACCTGAAGTTTTGAGGCCCAGTCGATGCCTTGGACATTTTAATCTGTTCAGCCACTCCTGAGCACTTTTTGTGCTGCTCAGGGAGGCCCATACAGCTTTTTTTGGAGTGGTACCATCCACATGAATACCAGAATTATTTCCTCAAAGTCCAACACAGTCTGTGTTATTTCTTTGCGTCTCTTTAATGCTGTGGCTAATAGGCATATAGCATCGTAGCTTTGATCACGTTTTAGAGTACGTCAGAGTCTCTGAAAAACCTTCATTCTGTTTTCTAAATTTTGTTCCTGTGTGAAGGAAGTGATGGTGTTTTGCTGCCTTTGCTATACCACTGACTACATCTTAGTGCCTTGTACTGTATGTAGTAAGCCTCATTTAAACCTGCAAGGTTTATTTGTTGAGTAGGATGGTAAAATGGGGAGAGGCTAAACAGCCATAGTGTACCATGTTTTTGTTATTTAAAAAAAAAAAAGTTGCTCACATGATCCTTTTACATTTGCATGATATCCAAAAGCAAATAATAATAGCATCATCGTTTTAGAAGATTAGGCCTTTCATATCCCAAACTAGGAGAAAAATGACTTCTTTTTTTGTCAGAAATGTGGCTTTCACGTGGTCTTAACTTAATAAATTGATGTAGAAAAAAAACCCACCCCATCACAGCCCTGTCATATCAGGGTTTTGTCATTTCATGTCGCGATGCTCTGTGTGCCAGAAACATGGTTTTCTGTTGTTTGTAATGTGATCTCGTCTTGTTAAACAAGAGGGAAAAAACACAATTAGAATGCATACTGTCAATATTTTTTAATAAATAATTTGTGTGTAACCAGTGTATGTAATATAGTTAAGCTTTACAGTTGCAACATATGCATATTAAATATGCATATTCAATGGTCCATTAACTGGACATGTCTTTTAAGGTGGTGTTAGTAGTTTTTAAAACATTTAAAAACCGCAGGTGGTCATGTCAAATATGGCAAACAGACATTGAGTATTGAGCTCTATTTCACAGAAAAAGTCAAGTAATGAACACAAAGTAGCATACCCGTTTCATGTTATGCTGAAAGCATAAAGGCACATATCAAAATATATTTCTTGCATGCCAGATTTGACAGCATTGCTTTGAGCTTTAATGCAAGAAGTGTTAAAACTTCTCACTGCTTACTTCTGCACACAAGTTATTCTAATGACTAGCATTCCTGAGTTTGAACTTTCAAGTCATTCATCTTAGTGGCTGTCCATGTTTTTCTTTTAAAGCTACTGTTTTTTAATTAAAATCCATTTTTGTTCATAAATCGTACGTAACATATTCAGAGCAGGTACCAAGACTCTCCTGTTGGGGGTGCTCTAGTGCTGGTGCTTGTTTGATCGCCACTTAGTCCTGAGGCAATGAGACGAATCTTCTAGCAATGCAATGTGTCACTGTGACCATCATAAAAAACACTTCTACTTTTTATGTTTCCAGAGAAGTCAGACCCAAGTGTCAGGATATTTCCTGGGGCCTTTCGGCTTTCCAAAACGGTTTCCAAATCCTGCGGGTGATAAAAATGATGTTATAATGTATTATGTGATACTGAAATACATATGATTGGTTACAGTATATGTAGGCCTACCAAACTTGAACACTGAAAAAACACTGCATGGTTGAGATGACGCTCCAGGTTGAGTAGGAGGCATTGGAGGGGCAGTTTTTGCTAAGGATATGAGAATTTACAGATCTATTAGTTTAAGCTTTCTGATATCAGGACCATATCAAAGTTTTATCTTAGCATACTTACGTCTTTGTTTGTGTTTAAAAAATCTTAGACTCTAGGCAAAGGAAACAAAAACACAAATTAGAGCCGATATCCTTTCAAATATCCCTGAAACGTGCAACTATGTACTTGTATAGTTTACGTTTACCTTCGTTCTACTCATGGCCTTTTCGCTGTTTTTGTCTGATTTGTTTTCTGATTTCTCGTTGTTCAGGGAGGCTCTGCGGTTCACATCACAGTGTTCCGCTTGAGCTGATTAACACAGAAACAGAAAGAAAATGAAATAATTTGTGTTTGAAATTTCACCAAGCGCGACCTCTAACGCGATCTGCTTTTCACATCAAGAATAATCCCTATGTTGTGAAGTCTTATAGCAAAGCACTTGGTACACAGGTCTTCTAATAACAGTGTGTGTGAGAGAGGCTACTGTGTATTTTGTTTAATGCCTGAACCAACTCACCACTTCCTCCTTCAGCTACAAACACAGTAGGTGGAGCGATCGGCTGAACTACAGTTGGGGGCTCTGCAGTGGAAACACAATGATAAACTACACCCAGCACATAAAGAAGCATTTAGATTAATCATGAATAAAACAAGTAGCAATTTAAAAGTCAAGCTTTCATCACTTGTTTTATCATATCATGCCTCCCAGTGTACGCCAACATTTTCAAAGCAACAAACAAACTTTTGACACCATTTAAAATCATCAAACAGTATTTTTTATGTAACAGTAAGTAAAACAGTTTGGTCACTGGACTAAACCGATTAAAATCCAAACTTGTTATGGTCTATAGTTTCTGTTCCTAACTTTGAAACAGTCTTAATAAGAGCTCTGTGTATATGCAAAAGCCACTGCTCACTAGAAACCACAAAAAGCTTATGATTATGATCAAATATTGCTATTTATACCCTTTCAATGGAAAATCGCTTAATCTCACATCTAAAGAGGGGGGTATCATCAATCATTGAACTGAACAACCTACCTTGTCTTGAACTTTTAGGTCGAACACTCTGTGGGGAAGTGTTTAAAAACAAAAATGTTAAATGTCTTATGGAACTTATCATTTTAATCACTGTTTTGCTTGTTTGCTGTCTTATTTAGAACAGCGTGTTCTATTGCCTTGGAGCTATTTTACCACCATTACCTTGCTCCTGCTCATGACAGCATCGTGGAAATTCTTGGGCTGAGAAGTGCCATCCCACTCAGATGATATACCCACCCTTGTTGAGGGGTGCGCTATTTCTAACGGTTGTGGGAAAATGGCGGTTGGCTCAAGAACTAAACAAACAAAAAAACAAATTAAAAAAAACCCATAGACATCGAGTACTGCTGTTCAAATACACAGCTGTAGCTATCGCTGCTATAAGCAGGTGATGGTATACTCACTTTCTTCCGTGGCGAGGATGAAGGATTGTCGAGTTCTCTCTGGAAGGGGAGGTGTCAGACTGCGCTCGGCTGCACAATCAAATACAACCAACCGTAAACTTTTACATTTCTTATTAGGTAACAGTTACCTCATTCACTGTTTTGCATGCAAGTGTTTTACTCTAAAACAAGACTTGAAGGCAAACATCAAAGCTAGATCGTACCTTTGGCAGGCTGTGGGGGAGATAGCGGCTCCACAGACGGAGAGTAAGTACAGTTTGAAGAAAGGTCAGGATCATTTACTGGTCCTACAGTACAAAAAAGCAATGCTATATAAATCATCGCAATGCACATGTAGAAATATCCTGCTAATTGTGAGAATTTATGAAAATGTAAAAATTTTTTTTTTTAATCGTTGTAGAATTTTATATAGGTATAGTTTATTACGCTGTTAATAATAAATAAAATCTTACCTGTGAAGGTCATTTTCACTTTTAGACTCTACAAGAAAGAAAAGTGACCCACGGTTATCTATATCTACATCTCAGAAATATTTCCAAAACAGTATACATTAATTTCAGTTTTATTTTAGATCATGAAATCTAACATTAACTGTCGCTAAATGACTACGTTAATTATAATGACCTTTTAAATATTTTTTAACTCCTCTTTCTCTCCTTGCAAGCAAAAGTTTGTTCGCAGAACTAAAAGGAAGCGAAAGGGAAACTACACAACCACTAACCATGTACAAACACAACAGGGATAATACTCAGCAAGGCATTTATTCTTACTACATCTAAACAGTTACCGCTATTGTTTTGTAAGGGAAATGGTTTTGAAAACGGTAGTGAATCAACAACGTGAGTTATCACAAA